GCTCCTTTTTGTTTCTTCTCTTATCTGACCACTCTTGTTCCAGTCAGTTACACTGCTTTTTTCCATAATAGTCTTGAACCCTGTTTATTAACTTGGAATTTTCATGTGTGAGCCTGCAAAATGTGATAATTTATGTAAAACTTCTTGTATTGATATACGTTTCGCTTCAGTTCATAAAAATTATGCCCTTTGACCCTGTGTATCATCATTTTTGTTACTTTCATAGGTCAGAGTAGGTCAAGTTATCTATACATCTGGAAGTCTGTTCAATCATTCTTGTCAGCCAAACATCCATGCATATTTCCTTTCACGTACTCTCTTTATAAGAACGACAGAATTTGTCGCAGCAGGGGTACCCCTGGAGCTTTCCTATGGTCCACAGGTATGCCCACTTACTGTTGTATCTCATTCAGTTTGGTAGTGCGGAATAACATTATGATGTTCATGCAGCTATAGTATCTACAGAATGTAGAGAGCCCTTTTTTCCCCTAAACCTGTCCACATTTTGAAATACCAACATGGGACTGTAAAAACTAAGTTTTGTTTCTACAGGTTGGGCAGTGGGACTGTAAGGACCGCGTCAAGTTTCTGGAAGATGAATACTCATTTCGTTGTCAGTGCAGTGGGTGTTTAAAAGTAAACTTCTCTGACCTGGTCCTAAATGCTTTTCACTGTGTCGAACCGAATTGTTCTGGCGTAGTCTTGCAGAGCTCTGTTGTTGACTGTGAAAAAGACAAACTTAAGCACTTACCCAACATCATCACCGCTGGCAACATGGAGCCTCATCTTCAGGTATTGTATGTTTCCTAGAAAGTACAAATTCTCCCGACTCACTTAGATTTATATTCATGTAATCATTCATTTGATGTTCACACAGGCTGAAGAGGTCATCAATATTGATGACATCGATAGAGTGGCTCATCATCATATGCAAATCAATAGCCATTTTCATATAAATCCAGGCCTCTGTTTAAAATGTTGTTCTTATTGTGATCTGGAATCTTCCTCTGCGGCTGCAAATAAAGCATGGATTATTATCAGAAGGTATAACACTGTCTGAAAACTGGTTATGATCTTTTCAAATTTATTGGGCACCTATTTCCTATGTTCAATCTGCACGCTGAAGTCTTGTGTTCAATTCTTGACAGATTACAGGATGCAATAGTCTCAAAAGATGTATCTAGCACCATACTGGTGGATGCGTTAAGTTCTCTTGGTGTGCTGAGATCAACTTTCCATGCATATAATAGGAGCATTGCAGAAGTGAGTTTGTGACCACCCTTCAGTTTTGTACAATAGAATTATATAATTTGAATGTGCAGTTTGTAAGTACTAGACGCCAATATCTAAGTTGCTGTTATTGAACAACGTAGAAAGTGTTCAATGATTTTGGCACATATGACACTGAATTATATCACACTTGACTTCAAATGATTTTGATCTTTGCAGGCGGAAGACAATATTGCACAGGCGTTTTGTTTCGTTGGAGAGTTGCAACCTGCAATGGAACACTGTAAAGCCTCAATCGAGGTAAAACTCTTGTTGTGCATAAGTCACTTCATCTGAACTTTTTACATTTGTGTTGATTATATCTGATTTCTGCGAGGATAAATTCATAGATCAGACATGGATACCTCACTAGTCACTGGGTGTACTTATTGTTATTTAGTACATAAATAACTCCAAATGATGTTTTAATGTTGTTTCACATTGACAATTGGCAGATCCTGGAGAAGCTCTATAATCCTAATCACATTGTCATTGGATATGAACTTGTGAAGCTCTCGTCTATTCAGTTATCCTTGGGTGACTGTGCTGCCGTGGACAGCATAAACCGACTTTGTAATATATTTTCGTGTTATTATGGATCTCAGACATACAAGATTTTCCCATACCTTCAATTCCTTAAGAGGAGAGAGAAGCAGACCTCTTCCTTGAAGCACCAACAAAAATGATTGTCTGGCAAGTTTTTGGACTCGTTGCCCACCCAAATACTGTTGAGAATGTTAAATGTAAATATAACCTGATCAGTTTGCGGGAGCGCAATTACAATTTGAGTCTCCACATCTTTGAACATTGATGCATGAATTAGCATATTTCATGGATATGGATGCGTACATCTCATCTATTTCTAACTACGTCGTCAGGGAATGTCACATGTTTCAATTCAAGGCTTCAATGTCAGGGTTTATAAACTAATTTAGTCAAGGTAATTTCACATCTTTTTGTGCACATTTCGGCCCAAATTCAAAATCTCAATTCCCATTCCCATTTACCATTCTCAAATGCTTTCTCTGTCACTGTCGAACACAAAAGCCATTGAGTAAAGCCAATTTCATGAATTATGTCCAACCTAGCCTCATCGTTACAACCAGGATCCACGTGGATATGGTTTGAATAAAATATTGCAGGCGGCTGCTAGGTTTCCGAAATTGCCCATTTTTCACTTTTTTAAAGCCCATTTTTCACTTTGGCTGGGGAAGAAGGGGGAAATTTGAGTTTTGGTTGGAGTTATTATGAAAAATGAAAGAGTTCTTTCCCCACCAATTCTCAAATCCAAAAAAAAAAATTTGAGTTGAGTGAAATATTTTAAAAAATACACTGAAAATTTCTAAGAACTCCTTGTAACATTCTCTTCTGTTAAAGCTCCAAGATTATAATTTTGAATTATAAAAATATAAAGCAATAATAAAAACTCTTTTTTTTTTTTTATAGCCATGGAAAATTCTATATATAAGATGAACAGGTTGACATTATTTTACAAGTTTATTTCTTCATCTAGAATGTGCACAGAATTCCTAATTTAAAATGGTAAGGTTCCTTTTCTTTTTTTTGGGTCCAAGTAAGGTTCCTAGTTAAACAATTACATAAATAGCTTCCTTTGGGCCGGCCACCTGAAGTCAGTCAATTGCAAGTCTCTCTCGGGTAGCTTCCTAGAAGAAGGACCCATGTCCATCCATGCACGTCGTTTTAAAACCGTACAATTTTTGGAGCCATTTACGTCAATTTTGTCTCTCCTTTCTGTTGTCTGTTTATAGATGAGACATGGATACCTCACTAGTCTCTTGGTGTACTTGTTTAGTACATAAATAACTCCAAATGATGTTTTAATGTTGTTTCACATTGACAATTGGCAGATCCCGGAGAAGCTCTATAATCCTAATCACATTGTCATTGGATATGAACATGTGAAGCACTCGTCTATTCAGTTATCCTTGGGTGACTGTGTTGCCGTGGACAGCATAAACTGACTGAAAGGTTTTGAATATTCTCGATGATTTTCATTGAAAAATTGTGTGATAGTTATATACAATGCTTTACTTGGTGCCTACACAGGATTTCCTATTCTAGGCAAGAATCAAGTGCTTGAGAGACAAGAAATATATACAGCAAATCAATGAAATAAATACAAATAAGACAGGAAACTAAATCACATCTCATTACCGACCTTGTGATATATTTTTGTGTTATTACGGATCATACATACAAGATTTTCCCATACTTTCAATTCCTTAAGAAGAGAGAGAAGCAGACCTCTTCTTTGAAGGACCAACAAAAATGATTCAGTCCGGCAAGTTTTTGGACTTCTTGCCCACCCAAATACTGTTGAGAATGTTAAAAAATATAACCTGATCAGTTTGCGCGGGAGCATAATTACAATTTGAGTCTCCACATCTTTGAACATTGATGCATGAATTAGCATATTTGGGTTGGAATAAAGCGTGTGACATTGCTTGCAAAATCTTTTCGTTCACAATACACGCAGTAATTGCTGAAGGGTAAGAGAAAATCCATGTTGATTTACTAGACAGTCTTCTCCAACGCCATTTAGAAATTGTAAAGACTATTTTTCGAGATGATGAAATATTTATTTTATTGTCATATATATTACAAATTAACATCAAGATTGGCCTTCTTGGTTTTTGGAAATTTCTATCAATTCGTGCACCAGTTCATCTTTACTCCTAGAGTTCTATTTCCATCAGATTGTTATGCTTTCCTTTATACTGAAGCAACCTTATAAACTAATTATAATAGAATTATCTTTTCAATAACCGTTATTTTATGAGATTATTATTTTGTCACTCAAATCATTGTGGTACGGTTTTTATTGCTCCAAATTATATATGAAATAACATTTAAGTTTGTGGAAGAGTTGAAAAAGAGGATTGGTATGGATTACAATCGGCTATCTCGGATATCAATTATTGAGGAAAGTACTGTGAAAGTATATTTAAAACCAAACAAGTGAGAAACAATTTACAAAAAAACAAAAGCACGTAATCGCAACAATAGAACCAAATCTAAAATTAATAAAATTTCCATATCCGAGTCGGTACACACTAAATCTAATTAGTAAATAATTAGGGCAAACAAACAACCAACCAAGTTTAGGGTTTAGGGTGTAGGAAAGCATAATTTTGGAAAGAGAGTCATTAGTTATCATTTCTCCATTGGATTCTCCTTCTCCTTCTCCTGCTCATTCATCAGATCCTTTAGCCGCTTACGCACTCTATCCGTACGCTCCTCTAGCTGCTCATCCACTCTAACCAGTTTCTCCAGGGCCTTGAGAAAGAAGAACTCAGAGTCACCACAAATACAATAAAAAATTAACTAAAAAAAAGAATAATAAGGAAGCCATACCAATAGCATCGCTTTAAATTGTATATCTTCGGCAATGTGTTTCTCTGTCAACCTCTCTAAACGAACCTCCAACTCCATCAGGGATTGTAATTTACCATTCAGATTCCTCTCTTGATGAACCTTCTTCTCCCTCAGGGATTGTAATTCAACATAATACTCCTTGAACTTTCTTATCCAAGCACCAGCTGCAGCAACTGATCCCAACATTACACACGATGCACGGGTACTTTCTTATCCAAGCACCAGCTGCAGCAACTGATCCCAACATTACACACGATGCACGGGTATATACGGAGATATACAGTCGGTAACCTAAGCCTGTGATCACAATAGATTCCGAAAACTTTCGGAAATTTCCGAACTTTCCAATTACAAAGTTTTAAACTCCTAAGAATCTATAAGTTTTAAAGACCTTAATTGAAAAATAAGATAGTTGGGTGAACATATTTATAAAAGAAAAAAAGAGGAAGTTTATGTTTGTTTTTCGATGTGGGACTGCAACTACCTATTTATAAAACAAACATAAACTTCCTCTTTTTTTTCTTTTATAAATATGTTCACCCAACTATCTTATTTTTCAGTTAAGGTCTTTAAAATTTATGTGCTTTGAGCAGAGAAGATCCAGCAAATTTGTGTGTTTCCGATTCCAAAGTTTTGAGCTCTTCAGAAATATAAATTTTAAAGACCCTAACTGAGAAATAAGATAGTTTTGGGTGAAGAATGAAAAAAATGATACACTAACAGTTAGCAATGAAATCTGTTGATAAAGAACTGAACTTGTTACGTTCAAGGATGGGACTTACATGCAATACCGAAGCCCGATTCACATCCAAAGTGGCAACCAGATTTCAGTCCTCATGTGCATCCATAGGAGCAACTCTCAATGCTTGTGCCTCATGCCAATGATAGATAATAAACAAACAAGTAAACAAATAAGGGGTTTCAGAGCAGAGGTGTTATCAATCTAAGCCAATGAGTAATGAGCTCTAGCAATTGCTTCAAAATAGAGAAGTAATTTCAAAGATGGAGGTACCTGAGTATAGAAATCCAAAGCATTAGCATAATCACACCACTCAAGAAGCACTTATTTTCCTTTTGCTTCGACTTCAAAGCAGCTTCTTTGTTCTTGCCACACAGAGCCACTTCAAGGTCCACCAAGTCCCTCACCATCTGATCAAATACGACGGGGAGATCTCTTGAAGTTGAGTCAATCTTGAGAGTTCTGGGAAAGCTAATGCAGATGGTGTGAAGAAATCTCGCCCACTCGATCACAGGGGACTACCTGCCCGAGAAGAACGCTGAGATTCAAGCCAGAGAACTAGGTAGTTGGAGTCCCACATCGAAAAACAAACATAAACTTCCTCCTTTTTTCTTTTATAAATATGTTCACCCAACTATTTTATTTTTCAATTAAGGTCTTTAAAATTTATAAGTTCTTAGGAGTTCAAAACTTTATTTGTAATCGGAAAGTTCAGAAATTTCCGAAAGTTTTCGGAATCTATTGTGATCACAGGCTTAGGTGTACCGACTGTATATCTCCATATATACCCGTGCATCGTGTGTAATGTTGGGATCAATTGCTGCAGCTGGTGCTTGGATAAGAAAGTCCAAGGAGTATTTTGTTGAATTACAATCCCTGAGGGAGAAGAAGGTTCATCAAGAGAGGAATCTGAATGGTGAATTACAATCCCTGAAGGAGTTGGAGGATCGTGTAGAGAGGTTGAGTGAGGGAGACATTGCCGAACAAATACAATTTAAAGCGATGCAATCGGTAGGGCTTCCTTGTTATTCTTTTTTTTATTTAATTTTTAATTGTATTTGTGGTGACTCTGAGTTTTTCTTTCTCAAGAACCTGGAGAAACTGGCTAGAAAGCAAAAGCAGGTAGAGAAGCTGCTAAAGGAGACGGAGGAGCAGCTAAAGGATCTGATGAATGAGCAGGAGAAGGAGGAGGAGAATCCAATGGAGAAATGATAACTAATGCCTCTCTTTCCAATATTATGCTTTCCTACACCCTAAACCCTAAACCCTAAACTTAGTGGGTTGTTTGTTTGCCCTGATTGTTTATTAATTAGATTTGGTGTGTACCGACTCGGATATGGGAATTTTATTAATTAGATTTGGTTCTATTGTTGCGATTACGTGTTTTTGTTTTTTTGTAAATTGTCGATAGCCAATTGTAATCTATACCAATCCTCTTCTTCAATTCTTCCACAAACTTAAAGGTTATTTCATATATAATTTGGAGCAATAAAAACCGTACCTACCACAATGATTTGAGTGACAAAATAATAATCTCATAAAATAAATCTTATTGAAAAGATAATTCTATTATAATTCCTTTATAAGGTTGCTTCAGTATAACAATCTGATGGAAATAGAACTCTAGGAGTAAAGATGAACTGGTGCACGAATTGATAGAAATTTCCAAAAACCAAGAAGGCCAATCTTGATGTTAATTTGTAATATATATATGACAATAAAATAAATATTTCATCATCTCGAAAAATAGTCTTTAGAATCGCACTTGTAAATGGTGTTGGAGAAGACTGTCTAGTAAATCAACATGGATTTTCTCTTACCCTTCAGCAATTACTGCGTGTATTGTGAACGAAAAGATTTTGCAAGCAATGTCACACGCTTTATTCCAACCCAAATATGCTAATTCATGCATCAATGTTCAAAGATGTGGAGACTCAAATTGTAATTATGCTCCCGCAAACTGATCTGGTTATATTTTTAACATTCTCTGCTTCTCTCTCCTCTTAAGGAATTGAAAGTATGGGAAAATCTTGTATGTATGATCCGTAATAACACGAAAATATATCACAAGGTCGGTAATGAGACGTGATTTAGTTTCCTGTTTTATTTGTATTTATTTCATTGATTTGCTATATACATTCCTTGTCTCTCAAGGACTTGATTCTTGCCTAGAATAGGAAATCCTTCGTGTAGACACCAAGCAAGGCATTGTATATAACTATCACACGATTGTTCAATGAAAATCATCGAGAATACTCAAAACCTTTCAGTTGGTTTATGCTGTCCACGGCAGCACAGTCACCCAAGGATAACTGAATAGACGAGAGCTTCACAAGTTC